TGGGAACGCCGGGGCCCGGGAGCCGGCCCTGGAGGGGATGGGGCGGTGGAGGAGGCGCGGAGCCCTAGAGCCCCAGTGCGCCCTGCCTGTCCAACCCGGGTCAGAAAAACCTGATGAAAACGGGAACCTTCCCTCCCTTCTCGTTTTTCATTTCTCAGGCGTTGGCGGTTGATCAGACAGAGGAATGAATGTGTTTACAGGATGTGAGTTGTGTTCTTTCCTCCTTTACCTTCTGAGGGCTCCTTGCACCTCATGGTGACAGGTGGGAATCATGACACAGAAGGGCAGTTTGAAGTCGGTGAAGAAAAACAAGGCGGAAGAACCTGAATTGGAGCCCCTGTGCTGCTGCGAATACATAGATCGAAATGGGGAGAAGAACCACGTGGCCGCTTTTTTATGTGATTGCCAAGATCTGGATGAAGGGTGTGAGAGGTGAGAGCCCAGTGTTTCTTGATACTGATTCCACTGGCCCTTTTGAGAACTGCCGTGTATACTTTCAGCTTAGCCACTCAGAACACTAGAATTTGCTCTTGATTCTGTTTCCGAGGATCTGAAATTGAGCGTTGTCTTCTATGTCAAGGGTAAGGGTTTTATAAAGATGAATTACTCAATTCTGCACAACTGTCTGGTCAGCTCAGTTTACTAGGTCCTTATTTTTCATTTAAAGGGATAATATGGAGAGAACAGGCAGATGAAGGGATAGTAGGCAAATTAAATGTAAAAAAGTAAAATGCAGCCTGGCAGAATCTGTAATTTTAAAATGGACACAGTACCAGAAAGACCCTATGTTCTCAGTGATCTCGGCATTTAGAGGCTGACTACCTGGGACTGGACTGTGCCTGGCCACAAAGGGCCTTAAAAGTGTTGAAAGATCATTTTCCTGCTGTTGGAACTGGCCTCACCTTGTTTTTGGGGAGGAAATCCAGTTAGAAAACATGTCCCTCTCCTGCACTGGTTGTTTTCAACATGAGTGGCAACACTTTTGTTCGATGCTATTATATTTGGCTTTTATTTTCACTGTTAATCCCAGTGATGGAAATTACTATTCAGAAAGATAATTTTTAACATCACTGAACATTTTTTGTATCAAGCAGTAATAACCTGGCTTTTATCCATTTTCTAAGTAATATATTTAAACATTCTTGCCATATGGAAAGCATAATGTGGGAAGAATAAAGATGTTGGAAACTTGCTTTTCTCATTAATAACTACTTCTGCTTAAAAAGTCATTGCAATGGCAGATTGCTGATTTAGAGCTTGGTGCATTAATGTAGCCTGGAAAGCATCCGTGGGAACCACTTTGGTCTAGTACGAACCTTGACACCTGAATACACCATGACGCCTTTGTAATTCTTACTTGACAGTGTCTATAATCTTTTTTATAGGTGTCTTTAAACATAGTTTCTTTAGACAGTCTAAAATCTGTGAGAAAATGGAGCACTTTGTGCTAATGAATGGAGAAATGATGCTGCTTCCATAATCTCCATCACTCAAGACCGCATCTCTTCCATTAACCTTCTAACTCTTCCCCCCCCAGCCCTTGAGACCTGTGCTGTCCCTGAGTTCTCCCCTCCGTTCTCTCTATGCACTTCTCTGGAGAGAGGCTCCCTGCATTTCCACTCTCCCTCTGCTCTTTATGACTCCCATATAGTAATCTCCCACTTCCAAGTTCCAGCCCTGCTTTTTAAAAATTGTCTAAAATCATTGTGATTCCTTAAACTGTTCCCTTCCTTACCAGCCTAAGTATGCAAAAAAGGTCAACAATACCATGTGTCCTCAAAGCTGGGTCATTTGACTCATGCTTGTTTGACCTGCATTGTGCCGCATGCAGACCCCTGCCCCTGCGGACCTGGTTCACTCCCTGGGCCCAGTACAGGCTGTGTGCCGCACACATATCTGTCCACTGGAACGCCTCCCACCATTCCTCTCCACATGTACAAATGCTAGCCAGCTGTCAAGGTCGAGCACAGATCCCACCTTTTCCACAGAGACCCCTCTGATGTCTCCACCCACAAGTGTCACTGTCCTTTGTGCTCTCCTCACGATGTTCGGCTGTAATAGTTCACTGGGTGGTTTTGCTGCTTTGTCACTTACCTAATAATTCTTGAGTTCTCATGTCGTCTTGTCTTCACAGCTGTATTGTGAATTTTTTTGAGATGTTTATGTCTCTACACCCACCCAAGTCTAGATAGTATTTGTATGGAATGTGTGTATTTATATGTATTTGTTTCATGGAGAAGGAGTTAACTGTTCACTAAAGAACATCTTCAGGTTCATATTCAAAAATGATACACGAATTTGAAAACAGCATGTTTAGTAGTCAGGCAGTAGACAGAATACTTGACACCTCTTTTTATCATTTATCCTGCTCTTTGGCTTACAGTGTCCATCGTTTTTTAATTCAGCGCCCTCTCTTTGTGCTCTTTCTGAGTAGATGGATTACCTGTAAATCCGCACAGCCGGAGACCTGTGAAAGAATCATGGATACAATCTCTGATCGCCTCCGAATTCCTTGGCTTCGAGGAGCCAAAAAAGTTAACATTAGCATCATTCCCCCGCTCGTCCTCCTGCCCGTCTTCCTCCGAGTGGCCTCCTGGCATGTCCTCCTGGGGGCGGGGGTCCTGGCCTCCCTCCCGGCGCTGGGCCTGTGGTACTACTACCTCACGCACAGGAGGAAGGAGCCCACGCTGTTCTTCCTGAGCCTCGGGCTCTTCTCTCTGGGCTACATGTACTACGTGTTCCTGCAGGAGGTGGTCCCCAAAGGGCGTGTGGGGCCCACCCAGCTGGCTCTTCTTACCTGCGGGTTGTTTCTGATCCTCGTAGCCTTGTATAGAGCCAAGAAGAATCCAGGCTACCTCAGAAATCCAGGCAGCGAGGACGCATCTCTAGGCAGGAGCCGAACCCAGTGCCCGGACAGAAAAGGGCAGAAGCCCAGAGGGCTCCTCAGCGCAGATCCGTCAGCCGTTCTCAACAACCGCACGCTGAGGGATGACCAGAAGGGCTCGTCCAGGCTCTTGGCCGGAAGCCCCCCCAAGGTGAAGGAGGACTGGTGTGCCCAGTGCCAGCTGGTGCGACCCGCCCGGGCGTGGCATTGCCGGATATGTGGCATCTGTGTGAGGAGAATGGATCATCACTGTGTCTGGTATGTGGGGGAGAAATTGGAGGCTTGCAAAGTGTAAATTCACGTGAGACTCTAGCCGTGTTTGATCTTCCTTTGTATCATCCTAAAATCTCTCCTTCCCAGCCTTACATCTTGTAGATGTCTGTGGGCTGTTAGGATGTTCCCACTTAGTCATCAGTTTTTCCGAGTTTCACAGATTTAGTTCTTTCACAGTCATTTCCTGAAGGTGTTTTTTCTTTTTCCTTTTTTGCTATTCTCTTTTGAGCTGCCCCTCATTTATCTTCTTTCTAAAAGAGAAGCATCTACAGTTGAATGATTTTTAAAACTTTTTAAAAGAATTTATCAAAATCAGTATGGGCTCATTTCCTTTTGAGCACAGTTCAAGCAAGTGTCCCCATGTTTTTAGGTGGCTCGTTTGTCCTGCCACCGTACATCCTTCGTCATTTCGATGCTACTGATGGTTTCTAGTCTATGTTATTGAGGGAAGGTCTTGCCAGGTAACTCTCTATTTGGTTATTGGTGGAGAGATGGGCTTTTGGGGTACCTACCCGCTGGCCAGTGACACCTGAGGACACATAAGGCCTATAAGATGTAAAGTGCAGCTGTTAATGTTGCAGCTTTACGGAGTAAATCTTTAACGGGGGTGTAATTAAGTCAGATGTGACTGCTATGACTAGCATGTTTGCAACTTGATTGCTCTTAAGGCAGTCGAGGGCAGTGAATTATGCTTTTTAGGACTAAGATTCTGGTTACATGGCCTACCTCCTCCAGAAGGGAATGTCAGAGAGGGTGAGTGCAGAAAGGCCAGGAGGGCATTGGGGTGGACGAGTGCAGGGCCCAAGTACAGGGATGGCTCTTTTCTGGGGCTTTGTCTTTAGGAGTAAACAGGTATTTTCATTTTTAGATTTTCCACTTCTCTTTGTCATC